TATCAAAACCCCAGCAAATCTCTACATACCTCTAAACCCCATATCAATTATAATGACAAATCGCCCACTTACCTTAGATTGCTAGCTTGGATCTCTTCTCTTTGCGATCTACCGAAATTCCTCTATGTTCTTCGTGCCTTAACTTTCTCTTCTGCTCTTCGAATGTTTTCACGATTGTACCAAATAAAATATTTTCCCTTATTCCTTGTTTAACATTTGGACCCCCTAATATGTTTTGCCCAACTTGTCCTCACATTGTCCTTGTCTTCTCTACATCAAGTATTTCTCTATTTTATAATTAATAATAATTCTAACTAATTTTAAATAATTATTAACTAATTATCTAAATTACAAAAATACTCCTTACTCACTTAACTTCTCATTACCCCACAACATAACATATCACACATCATATTCAACAAAACTTCACATGTTCATTAGTAATCTACAAATATTTCTAATAACTCATTTAATTAAATTAATTCTAAAAATTGGAGTGTTACATTCAGTTCCATCAACACAACAATTTCAAACATTCACCAAACACCGATTCGTCCAACATACAAACAATACAGTATCATACTTTAATTATTTTATAACCCAAAGAGATGAACACAAGCATATAGATAAAGCATTATAACAAGAGGAATCATAATTTCTAACCCACAAATCATTATGAAAACCCTTATAGAATTGGAACACCATCATTACCTTGGTATTCCTAGCATATAGTTCTTTAATCTCTAACAATTGAGTTTTTTCCCTTAAGCCCTAACTCTGCTTTCCTCTTTTCTTCTCTATTTTTACGTACTGGTATTTCCACCTCACCAATTCTTATTTCTCTTATTATAATATTATTATTATTAATCCCAACTAAATAAATAATAATATTCCAAATAATTTTTTATTTAATTCAATTACTATTAATATTATTTTATCTAAATAATTCTAATTTAAATAATAATAGTAATAACATTCTCCCACCACCCCTATGTTCTACACTATTGCTCACACTTAGAGTTTGACATAGCTTCACCTTATAAAACCGGTTAGTAAGGTGAGGAGCGTCAATCTATATGAACTCTTTCAATGCTCTATCTCCAACTAATGTGAGACTTTTAGGATCTTCCTAACACTCACACACCCCCAACACCTCTATTTCTAATTTCTAAGGTTATCACCCTACACTGAAGGGTCCCATAGCACACCAAAACATCAAACAACACACAATATCACACAATTTAATTACAAACAATTAATTAAATAAATCGGGGAGTTACAATGATGGTACAAGCAATATAAGAGGAGAACAAAATAGTTTACAAGCATTATTTATGAAGAATTATTCTTATGTTCGTGTTTGGTTGCAACTAATAGGAATAAAATTTACTTCTTCATTGATAAACTACGCCTTATCATGACTCTTCCAGTTTCTACTGCCACAATTGAAAGATCTTTTTCGGCAATGAAAATTATCAAGACTAAGTTGTAAAATAAGATGAAAGATCGGTTTCTTGTAGATAGCATGACTATTTACACTAAAAGAAAAATTAGTGCATATATTAATTTAGATTCTATTATTGATAATTTCAAGTCATTCACTATACGTAGAATATTATTTTAAGGTATGTAGTTTATTTTTCTAGTAATCCACTGTGTGCTTATCACAACTTAAATTTTATATATAATATAATTTTTGTATTTAAATTTAAATATTATAACTTATTTTAATGGTCCACTCGCTTTTTTTTCTTGGTTCTACCACTTGATAGATCTAAAGGCGTGGTGTCTTAGGCACTATAAAGGTAGCTAATCTGAATCCAAAAGTTTGACTCTTACAAGTGCGACTTATATATATTTTTCCATGTAGTTTCTCTATTTGTAGAGAAAATCGTATCATTTTATAATGAAAATTAGTTCTTTGAACATTCTCAACAATGTTAAAAATGACGTGTATCAATTAATAAACAACAAAAAATTAAAGTCTTTAAATTATGAAAATACCCCCATGACTCTTTATTTTTGTAAGATCTCATAAATCATTACTGCAATTGTAATCATATATCAATTCATATGAATATAGAAATATAAATATTAAAAATTTTATGTTTTAAAAATACTTTTAAAATTAAAAGACTCTAAAAATGTTAAGACATGGTAATAAAGGTCTCAAGATTTTATTAGAGTTTATATAGTAGCATAAAAATGTTAAATTAATTAGAAAAAAATATAAATAGTCATAAATATTGTGTTAAGTTAGACTAATTTGAATTTTTTTCAAAAATATTTTAAATCTCTTAATTTTATTTATTATCTATTTAATCATAAATATTTAATTAAGAATAACACTAATATTATTATAAAATAAAATATTTTCTTATATGAAAAATAATGGATAAAATCAATATAATAATGTGTTATATTTTATCATAAAAATTTATAATCAATAAACTAGACGTATAATAAATTTTTAGATGTTTAATGATAAAATATTAATTTTATAAAATTTATATTAAAAAATAAAATAGAAAGAGTTAAGAATATATTATATAAACAAAAAAAAAAAACTTGATAATATATTACAATTGCATGATATTAAATCAAGTCTTAAATCTTAATTAGTTCTTTATAAAAAAATTTAAAAACTTGATTGGTTCTTTCTAAGATATAGATAATTTATTATGACCCTAACTTTTAATTAGTGGGTGTTCGCGATGCGATTTAGATAGTTTTTAGTGTCATTTGAATTACAAGAGTAAAGTGTGGTTTAATTTGATTAAGTTGCTTTTTAAAAATAAAATTGAACCAAAACAAATCAAATTAATGTAGTTTAAATTGATTCGATTTTTTTATTAAATAAATTTATTATATACATTTATAATTTTCTTTAGAACCTAATATATAAATATGAATTGTATCTTACAATTTCATGATAATATATATAAATTGTATTCTTAAATAAGTTAAAATTCTATAGTGTAGTTATAATTAAGTTCATGTATTGATTATCTTATCCTAATAATACTATAACTTTTTATTATCAATATAAGAATAGATACAAAAGTAATGTAAATTAAACTTTTTCTTTTTAATTATAGCATTACCATCAACAACAAATTAAAAATGAAAATAAAAATAAATATATAGCAATTTTATTTCAAATAAAAAATAATATTAGTATTTATAAATAAATAATATTTTGTTTTTTATTAATATGTAAATTAAAATAAATATCATACAAAGAATATGATAAAATATATACATAATACTTGTTGATTTCTCTAAAGAATTAAAAATTTATAATAACTTGTAAGATTTTGTAACATAATATGATTTAGTTTGGTTTAGTTCGGTTTATAAAATACAAATTGCAAAATGAACCGAACTGAACCGTGTGGTTTTGTTAAAAAATGATTCAAACACATCTGAATCAAATAGGATTTTTGATTTGGTTCGGTTTGGTTAGTGGTTTTCTATATACATATATCAAACACAAAAGAGTGATGAACGTGAGGGAGTGTATTTGAAAGATTCCAACTTCCGCATTGGTTAGAGATAATGCATTGAAAGAGTTTATATAGAGTGTCACCCTCACCTTACAAGTGGATTTTGTAGGGATGAGTTAGGGCGCATCAGAAACGTGGACGAAGAGGGAAGTCTAACAAGTGTTATGATAGACTTTGATAACATTTCATAATTTGAATTTGGTCTAACTCAATCCTACAAAACCGACTTGTAAGGTGAGGGTGTCACTCTATATAAACTCTTTCAACGCTACTAATTTTAACAAACGTGGGACTTGAGATTTTCTCAATACATTCCTCACACCCTGCATTCTTTTGAGTTTGATGTGTGGATATAAATGGTAAACGGTCCATGATCTGATCAATAAACTCTGATATCATCTTAGAGTTTGACCTAATTCATTTTTATAAAATCGACTTATAAGATGAAGATTGCCTACACTTATAAACACAACACACATCATATCTCTAAACAACACATAAGAATAAACTTATCCTTTCAAACCCAATACAATAAAAGTGTTGGAAGTTACAATCAAAGCAAGACAAATGTTGCAATTTAGACAAGTAGAAGCATACTAAAATGAAGGCGAAAATTCCAAGTTTGATCATGTCTAAAAAATTTGACATTAATAAAAAAAATACATTTAATATGTCTAAAAATTGGGCATTAAATAAAAAAATCATTTGATATGTCTACAAAATTTGATATTAATAAAAAAAATCATTTGATAGTTAAGTGAATTACATCAAAATTAACTCATTTAATAATGTTTAATAAGATATTAATTTTTATGTATCACATATCAAATAATTTATGATTAATGTTAAATTTCAATCCAATAGTAAATTTTAAAGTACATATCAAATAATGTATTATCAAAATATCATAGGTAACAATTGTTATATACTAATTGATGGTGGTCTCTAAATCTGAACCCAATTTTTAGTCCATCCATTTTGACTAATGAATGGATATGGGCACATACTTTGATATTAATACAAAACCAATCAATTAGAGGTATGTGACTCTATTAGTGGAAAACATGTAGCACAGTTTAAAACCATTGAATTACAAATATACGGACATCAACGTTTTTCGCTTAATAGGAATTCGTGAAGGATATTTGTTTATTCGGCTCTTCCAATTCCATACAAATTGAGGATGCTCTACATCTTGATTAACCAATTTTGTTAGACTCCAACTTCTAAGTGATATATTCTTTCATTTATTCAACTATGTTGTTCAATTGTTTCTGCATTTTTTGTCATATATATATATATATATATATATATATATATATATATATATATATATATATATATATATATATATATATATATATATATATATATATATATATATATATATATATATATAAACATGTGATTTTTGACGTTATATATCTAACTTTCTTCAACTGATTTTTATAGGTAAAAACAAAATCATAGCCTATTGCAAAACTGTTTTCAAGTATGGGAGGAACTGAGGAAAAAGATAAACATAGGGATGAAGTTGAGAAGAAAGATAAGAAGGAAAAGAAAGAGAAAACCGTTGATGCAAGTGGAAAAGAAGAAGAAAAATCTAAGGAGAAAAAGAACAAGAAAGACAAGGATGGAAAAGAGAAGGAAGAAAATGAACAAAGTGGAAAAGAAAAGAAGAAGAAAGACAAGGAAGGAAAAGAAGAAGGTGGAAAAGAAAAGAAGAAGAAGAACCCTGAAGATAAGAAAGATCCTGTAATGCTTAAGCAAAAGCTTGAAAACTTAGACTCCAAGATACAGGTTATGGTGGCTAAGAGAGAAGAGATTTTGAAGCTACTTAAAGAAGCTGAAACAAATCCAACTGAACCTCCTGCAGCTTCGTCTTAGATTATTCGTTGTATATATTAAATAGTACATTATCTCTACATGACTAATTTGTCATAAATAATGATAAGTTGTATAATTAATACCAAGATTTGTCATGAATCATGATGTGTGAAGGTGAGGCCTGGACCTCATGTGCTTTTTTTTAGCTAACTCAACAATTAAATATTTTACAAAGATGAAAGTAAATGATGTTAGAATTTTGGGTCACCAATATAATATTATGTTAGAATTTTGGGTCACCAATATAATATTATATATCTTAGAATTATTATTTAATTAGTTAAAATTAAAGTGGTTTAATTTTTTTAATAGGCAACAATATCTTATCAATAAAAAAGAGCAAAAGGGGAATTCAAACCCAACAAAAGATGCTACATTCTCTTCTTAGAACAATTCAAGAGAAAAGTATTACCAATCATAGAAATTACACAAAAGAGTGGTTTTACAACTTAATTCTATCCACCTCTATGATGTGAGTTTATTAGATAACAAATAATCCTCAAAGTTAAACGGCCTATCTTGGAACAAAATAGAATTCCTAATCAAGAAACCATTCTAAATTATAGCTAGCCAAATCAAACAAATTTTATTCCGGCTATCCTTATCTTTTACAAGATTATTGTATAGATACCATAAATTAATATTTAATTTGACAAAGATACAAATTAAAATATTAAAAATTAAAAAATATTTATATAATTATCTATATAGATTATGGTCCTTATTTGTAGAACAATCGAAAAATAATGTTTATCAAGATTCTCTCTTCATCCCTCATTAGAAAAGATTTAAAAAATCCTAAGAAATTTTACAAATCAGAATATCACATACATGCAACCTTCATCTATTACAATAACAAACTCATATACGCTTCTACTTTCATTCTCTAATTGAATTTTAATATTGGGTTTAAGGGATGTGAGTTGTAACACCGTGACCTTGTACATAATTTATCCAGGAATTTACTTAATATAAATTTAAGGTTGTCATAATGACAATCCTAGACACATGTCATCTTGATATCTACTCTAACATCAATCCTAAACACATGTCATCTTGATAACTACTCTAACATCAACACTAATTTTATTTTTTTAAATTAATTCTACATAAATAATTAATAATAATTATAATAATCATATAATATTCAACTAACATACTCTAAATAATAATAATAATAATAATAATAATAATAATAATAATAATAATAATAATAATAATAATAATAATAATAATAATAATAATAATAATATAATAATCAACTACCCCTATTAAAAAATAAAAACTAAAATAATAATAATAGTAATAAAAGAAATTATCACTATTAAAATAATAATAATAATAATAATAATAATAATAATAATAATAATAATAATAATAATAATAATAATAATAATAATAATAATAATAATAATAAACCTAATAATAATAATATCATATTTAGCCACCATTATTAATAATAATAAAATATAAAAAATATATATTAAGGTAATAATAATAATAAAGGTAAATAAAAATAATAATATAATATCTAACAACCACTATTAAAAATAATATTGTTTATAAAAATTATAATTATTTATCTATAACGCATTTGTCATATATATAATAAGGGAATAAAATAATAAAATATAATTAAAATTTAAATATTTATCATAAATTTTAAAATATAAGTTAAAAAATCTCTCTCTTTTATATTTAAAATTAAATTTTAAATAAAAAATTTAAAATTTAATTTAAAAGTTAAATGTTAAATTTATTATAGTTCCAATAGTCAGATAAAAATATATTTTAATTCTTAATTTTTTATAGTAATCGATTTCAAAATAAAAATATATACAAGACTATTACATTGTTATTTTTCTGTTGTAATTTATGAAATTGTTACTACAAGATTTTGACACAAAAAAATAAATATATTGTGTAACTCATATTTTTAACATTTGAACTATATTTAAATTTTTGTAATATTATTATATGTTTTTTTTTCTTTTTCATCTTATAGATCACATCATATAAAATATATATTGAAGAAACACATATTATGTTTGGACCGAAGATTTAATGTAAAATATAATACTAACTAAAATTTTATAATTATTTATCACCTAACAAATTATGTTAATATAAAAAATCTATCATTTATTCTTCAATTATAAAATAATCTACATATATGATAAATTGTATGAATAATGGATAGAATTGTATAAGAAATATGAAATTGTTTTACTACATATAATTATAACAACAACAATATCATTAACATTATATAACAAAGTGTACCTTTTAACTATTTTTAATTTTATTTATAAGTTAATATTATTCTTCACAAAATATATTATTAAAAAAAACTCTTTTTTGTCAATGTAAATATAAATTGATATATCAATGTTTATAAAGAAATAATAAAAAAAAATATTTTTTCATAAAAGTATTAAAACTATTTAAATGCAAATGCCACCAATTAAAAAAATATGATGTGTCACTTCTAAAAAATCTTATGTCATTTTCTTTTATATATTGAGGTTCACTTGTCATTGATAGCTACTCTAACATCAACCATAATTATATTTTTTCTTAAATTGATTCTACATTAATAATTAATAATAGGGTTAAATATATAAAATTCTTGTAATATTAGCGAGTTTCGCATAAAATCTCTGTAATATCAGTGAGTTTTGCATTAGGTTCTTGTAAAAGATTTTTTTTTTAAATCTCCCTGCAATTTTCAGATTCCCTCAAATACACCCTTGCCTGTCATATTGCAGTAAATATTCTCTTTAACAGCCTACGTGGTATTTCTTTTATTTTTTAATTATTTTTAATCCACGTGGAAATTTAATTTTCTTTTTTCTTATATTATTTTTTTTATACTATTTTAGTTTTATATTATATTTTATTAAATATATATTTAGGGATGTCAATAGGGCGGAGCAGGGTATACATTTTCATCTCAATTCCCGCCCTTGAATTTACTCCCCATCTCCGTATCGGATTCCGCCACGAAGAGATTTAGTCCATCATCCCTAGGGGTGACCAAAACCAAACCGGCCCAATAGAAAACCATAAAACCGAACCGAACCAAATCAAAACTGCAAAAAACCGCATTTGGTTCGAATGTGTTTGGGTCATTTTCTAATGGAACCGTGCGGTTTAGTTTGGTTTGTGGTTTGTATTTTACAAACCGAACCAAACTGAACCAAACCGCATTATGTTATTAAATCTTACTAACCAATATATATTTCTTTAATTCTTTAGAGAAATCAACATGTATTATGTGTATATTTTATCATATCTTTGTATGATATTTATTTTAATTTAGAAATCATAAAAAATAAAATATTATTCATTTATAAATACTATTTTCATAAAATATATTTTATCGTATTCTTTGTATAATATTTATTTAAGAATGCAATCTTATGTATATCATTCTTTAGATTTAGATAAAATTATAATACACAATTTTATGTATCAAATTATAAACTTATTTTGATAATTATAATTTTTGTATGGTAATGTATGAAAGATTAAACACAAAATTATATTTTTCTCTATATGTGTAAGTATGGTTCAATAATTTTTTTGTAAAAAATCGAACCAACCGAACCAATCCAAATCACATTAGTTTGGTTTGGTTTGGTTCCGTTTTATTTTTAAAAGTCAACCTGTAATACGATGGAAGAACTAACTTGGGATGTTTTGCGTTTGATCACAAATGTTGCGGTTAGCAAGAGTCGCCATCGACTTTTCTTTTATCCAAAAGGAAAGGTGGAAAAGAATAAGAAAGACCTTTGAGATTATTTCTTGAGTTCTGGGGGGTAGATTATGAAAAGGGAAGGTGTTAACACCCTTTTCATCTATAGTTATCTATGAACTCTTAGTTGCTTGCTAGATCACTTGCTTTTGTTTAAAAATGTGCTTTGTGTGGTTTTTTGAAAGTATTTTGAAAAGGCGCATTCGTTTAGGAAAACTTTGTAATGGTTCTTGTTCGTAAGAACGTATACAAAGTGATGGACTTTTGAAAATATTTCATGTTTGGAAAGTGTTTTGAAAATGTTTGTTTTGAAAGTGTTTGGTGTTTGTTTTAAAAATAAGAAAGGATATTTGATTTGAAAATGAGAAAGCAACTAGGAACAATCTACCTACTCAAAAGTCTTTGTTCATTTCTTCATTTCCTTTGATATTGCTATCTTACCATTGATTTGGTAAGAAGCCTTATCTTTGGATGTAAAGGGACGGGCGTGGATCATCGTATAGTCATGATAGCAATATTGTGAGATATCTTAGCATTTCTCTTTGAGGGACTAAGATCATTTTGAAAGGCAACATTTGTAGCGTCATCGAGGGACTATGATCTTGTATTTTTTATTTGTTTTTGCTAAGACATCTCACATGCATAACATGACCATTTTTTAGGCAACAAGTGAAATTATCCTAGGGGTGCAAGTGTGCAAGTGTTTTTGATTTACTTGCATTGTTTATCTTGAATTAGGGTTTACTAATTGTTGATTTTAATCTTGCCATACAAACCCTAATTACTAGCATTTATATTAAAACGATAAATTGCGGAAAGTAAAGTTACTACGCTATTACATCATTAGGGGAGGGGGTATACAAATTTACAAATGGAGATTGCAAGAAAATTAAACCTAATTATCTATTACAACCATATTGAATAATGTACAAGAATTGAATAAATATACTAGAAGATAAATGGAAAAGAAATTATTTTTGTTTGGTTTTAATGAAAGGGTTTAGTTTTGACCTAATTAAGGAAATAATTAATTAAAATTAAATAAAATTAAATAAAATTAAACCTAAACTAATTAAGAAAATAAATTAAGTTTGAAACATTTTTTAGGGTTTTTTATGAAAAGGTTTTAAGTGTAATAAAAATAATATGGTAATTAATTAATTAAAAGAAATTTAAGTTCTAAGTTAATTTTAATTAAGAAAAATAAAATAACAAAATATAAATCTAATTATTATTTATTAAA